CACACAGTGCATGGTCAATTGCATGGTGATGGTGCTGGATGTCTTTGTTGGTTTGTTAATGCTTCTTATCATAAAGACGCCAATATTAATTTGATTATCATGTATTTTAGTGCAGGGAACAAGGGCAAAGACTCTTTTTGTTACAGCATTTATAGAGATATTACTGCCAAAATTAGTACCACATTTCAAAAATCTATATTCAAAAGAAAACCCCCAATGGGGAAAAAAAGGACTTATACTAGTACCAAGGGAAGACACAATGTATAAAATACATATACTTATTTACAGTTATTTTGTTGTTTGCACTTGGAGCATTACGCTCTTACAAGTAAGTTTGCGCATCAGTGAACCCATGGTTGGTCTCTTTAATAACAATAATATTATATTGCTATAATTGTAGAACAGTAAGTCATATGTTTCTTTCTCAAATTGTATCTTTAGTTTGTTATGGGACACACAGCTATGATACCTACCCTGATTAGGAGGTGTGTGAGCTGCATATCGTACCAATTCTTTTGGCGCGTCCACTAGGTTACCGTTTTATCTATCTGCTCTATGGGGACCAGGGGCGGACTGACAACTCATGGGGCCCCCGGGCAATAGGGGATCATGGGGCCCCTGTGTCCTTGCCCAAACTCAAAAAAGCCCATGAAAAAGGTACCAGGGGCATCTCATGGGGCCCCCTACTGACCCTGGGCCCTCGAGCAATGCCCAAGTTTCCAAATGGTCAGTCCACCCCTGATGGGGACATGAGAGTGCATGTGGGTACTATGACTAGTATTAATATTATACATTGTGTCTTACCTTGGTACCAGTAAAGCCCTTTTTCCCCATTGAGGTTTTTTGTTTTGAATATCTTTTTGTTACAGTTGGTTGGTGGAAGTTCACTGATCATATCTAATGTGGTTGGAGGGTTTTATGATATTAGCTTGCAAGACAGCTGATTGGGGGACCTAGACACAAGGGAGGTGTCATCAAAAAAGGGCTGAGAGCTGGAAAATCATGCTACTGCAAATTAGAATAAATTACACATACACAAGAGACACAAAGGAAGATGAACTATGAATTCTATTGGGAAGGAACTAAATGCATCTCTCTTCTGGTATATAAACATATAGGTACCACTTATCCAAAGTAAAATGATCTGCTTAAAACTTAAGGCCATACATGATTCTCTTATTTTTTTCAACCTGCAGGTTGAATGGAAAAAAATGAACCAATTCCCTCATCCATACATTGAATGAAGATGTGTGAAAATAAAGAAAAGTGAGCGCACTCCAGTGAGCGACAAATGCACAAAAAGGAACTACAAGCCCTTCCAACCAAAATACAAACAATATAAGTGTAGCGCTACAAACAATGTCCAAGTGACAATATAAATATATATGCGATTGTCAAAAAATGTTAAAAATAATGGACAGTTCAGTGATGAGGAACTCGCAGGGAGTATAGGTGTAATCCAATCCCAGGAATAGATAAATTGCCTGCTTACCAGAAGCGCAATTTCAATGCGCATGTACAGGTTTCATGTAGCCGGGATCCCATGTAGGCGCTGCTTGATAGTACCCAGATGGTCCGTGCTGGTCGGATCACACTGCTCCTTGGATACACACAGAGAACCTAAAAATGCTGGGGCTGAGGTATGGGAACTCAGTGCCAGGTGTAAGGAGTAAAAATACTCATAGTGTAGTATGTTTAAAATATTTATTAAATCCAATACGTAAAACCATAAAAGTTACAAAACACATGCCTGCAGCCTGTAGCCAGTATAAGCAGTTTGAAAAAAATGTTCTATACACTGACCAGTGAAAACCATGGGTGGGCCGCCGGACCTCCTGACCCGGCGGCGTAACGTCAAGGCGTGCAAAGGCTCCTCCTAGACGCGTTTCGTGTCAATACACGTCTACTGTAGGGGTGATGCCATGGCTGCAGGCATGTGTTTTGTAACTTTTATGGTTTTACGTATTGGATTTAATAAATATTTTAAACATACTACACTATGAGTATTTTTACTCCTTACACCTGGCACTGAGTTCCCATACCTCAGCCCCAGCATTTTTAGGTTCTCTGTGTGTATCCAAGGAGCAGTGTGATCCGACCAGCACGGACCATCTGGGTACTATCAAGCAGCGCCTACATGGGATCCCGGCTACATGAAACCTGTACATGCGCATTGAAATTGCGCTTCTGGTAAGCAGGCAATTTATCTATTCCTGGGATTGGATTACACCTATACTCCCTGCGAGTTCCTCATCAATGAACTGTCCATTATTTTTAACATTTTTTGACGATCGCATATATATTTATATTGTCACTTGGACATTGTTTGTAGCGCTGCACTTATATTGTTTTTATTGAATGAAGATGGGGGAATCAATCCCGCTGAGCCATTGTATTCTGCTGTTGGGGAGTCTTCCTCACTGGGGGAATACATTGATCAATGTTGTTGGTTATAGCAACACTGAACATTTGGGAAAACCCAGCAGGCTGGTTCTGGTTATACACAATGCAATCAATAGCTCGACCTGTGTACAATCAGGTAGCCTATACATGGATTGAAATTTGGTTGGTTGTGCACAAATCAATCAATAGATCGACTTGTATACAACCAGCTAACCTGTACATGGATCGAAAATTTGGTGGCTGGTCCCTGCCAAATTTCTATCCATGTATGACCAGATTAAATTTAGGTACAAAATAAAAAAACAAAAAACATAGGAGATGGTACTTACATTTACTTAGAAGTGTCCCTTGTGCTGCTGTTGGCTGTCCTAGCTGAAATACACAGTCCTGTGACCCTTCTTCCTCATACCCCTCAAATTAATATATGTTCCTAGACCTGTGACAGACACTCATCAAAAGTTCTGAGTATGCCCATCCTTTCTACCTTCCTCCTCCATTTATGAAAGCTGTATTAGTGCCAATGAATGGAGGATGGGCAGATGAATAAAAGGTCCACCCCCTCCATTCATAAAATGCTTTTCACTTGGGAAGCTGTACAGCTTGTATGAATGGAGAAGGACGGAAAGAGTGGGCATAGTCGACACTCTTGACAGGTCCCTTGGCTCATATTACCCCTGCAGCAAAATAAGATTATGGCCTTGGGGGTATGAGGGGAGAGGTGGAGTAAGGAATTTAGATTTCAACTAGGACAAGCAATGCCAACAAAATGGGCACTTTTCATGTTAGTACCATTCCTTGTGCTGTTTTTTTTTTTTTTGGTTCACCTAAAGTTAAGGCTTTAAGGTGAATAATGAGGGACAAAAGTGACTTACCTGCTCAGCTTTTAGCATCTGTAATCACCCACAGGTGCCTGGAATGGAAGAAAAAAATAGATTACATTTTATTTGACTTTTGCTGCTACAGTTGTACACATAAAAGGGCCCAATAAAAAAAAAAGCCAAAACAAAAAACAGTTAAATCAAATCCCACTTTAGAACAAAGTTTTTGGACTTACATTCAGCCACAGTTGGCCAATCAGCATCACTAGCTGAAAAGAAATGCTCCCAATTGGCAAAGACTCTGTGGTCAATCCCTTGTCATTGGTTTCATGACCATCAACTAAAGGAAGCTATGGGCCCTATTTGCTCAGCAAAACTAAAATGTTTGATTATTATAATCATACAGGAATTCTTTAGCGCCAACAGTTTGCACAGTGCTTTACAACATGAGGGCAGACAGTACAATTACAATACAATTTAATACAGGAGGAATCAGAGGGCCTTGCTTGTTAGATCTTGCAGTCTAAGAAGGAGGGTCAAGAGGTATAAAAGGTAATAACTGTGGGGGATGAGCTGATGGAGAAAACAAGAGTATAGTTGTTAGGTGGAGGCAGGATAGGCCTCAGTGAAGAGAAGGGTTTTCAGAGTTTGACTAAAAGTGGACAAAACAGGAGAAAGTCGGACAGAATAGGGTAGAGAATTCCCGAGGATGAGAGAAGCTCTGGGGAAGTCCTGAAGGCGGGCATGGGAAGAGGTGACAAGCGAGCTCAAGAGCAAGAGTTCTTGGGAGGAACCAAGAGGATGATTTGGTTGGTATTTTGAGACTAGGCTAGTGATATAGCTAGGGGCTGAGTTATGGATGGCTTTGTAAGTTGTTAGTATTTTGAATTTAATTTGTTGGATGAGCGGAAGCCAGTGGAGGGATTGGCAAAGAGGAGTAGCAGACACTGACCGGTTGGTGAGGTGGAAAATTTCTCAGACATATTGCTGATATAAATTACGCACCTAAAATCCTATAATGAACAAAATGGATGTATTTCCCAGAGGAAAATAGTATGGCTATGAAGCTACATGGTATGCTGTATACATGGAGGTCTGCAGCATTATTAATCTTTGGGCATTGCTCTGATGAGAAAAATGGCTCCTGCAATGTTTATAGGTTATGTATTTACACAGAGCAGGATTGATTGATGTCTCGAACTGATGTAGAAAATGTTATCAGCTGGGAAAGAGTGACCACCTATCTCTGCCTCTCATTAGCTACCCGGTATACCCCGGTAGCCGCCGAGCATATGTTGCTGTGCGTTTATTATTGTTTGTGTAAGATTTATGGAAACTCCATAGCTGGTGTCTGCTCTCTTTGAAAGTGAAATAAGAGAAGCTGCAGAGTTTATGTAATGTTTGGAACTAAATAAACAGAAAACCAAAGACCTCCATCACTGTCACACAAAGCAGACACAATAAGGTCCTACAGATGAAAGGAGTGTAAGAATGACTGACACACAGGGATGGAGGGAACAGAATTCTCCTCTACATGGATGGACAGTAAAAAGTAATCGTGACAGAAATTTGTTCTTGTTAGGACCAAAGTGGAATGTGTATAGCAACTTTAAAGTAGTATTAAAGTGTTACTAAACCCACAACAGTAAAAACAGTCTGTATATGCAGTAAAGCATGCTTGTTATACTCACTGTGGAACCTAAGGGGTTAATCCTCTGCATTATGTTAAAAGGCTGTTTGATTCTGTCTTCTCTGATCCTCTCCTTCTTCCAGTGCCCTCTTCTTATCTCCTGATAAGATATATCATGTGGAGTTTCTCTAGACATGATCAGTTTTGTTTGTATTGGAGAGTACATGTGATCAGTACAAGGCCAATCAGCACTGTCCAGACAGAGGTCAGGGGTCCTGCATCTTCCTAGAGCAGAAAGAAAATTCCTCCTACAAGCTGAACACTGATAGAAGTCACAAGACTGCTCTAACTGCTGATGAGGAAAGGTATTTAGCAGTTTATAGTTACTAAAATAGTTGCATTTCCTTATTGTGTGGAATAGTGTGATGCACTGAGGCACCTGATAAATTTAAGTGCAATATTGGAATTTGTTTTTTTATGGTCAATAAATGCTTTTATGAGGATAAAGCACTATGTTTGGTGCTTTCTCTCTCTTTATACATGGCTGAGGAGGAATGCTAAGAGGAGGAGGAGTAACAGAGGAGTGTATAAGATCTAAGGCTAAGAAGTGGATTCATCTGAACCGGTTGGGAATACATATAGGAGTCCTACATGAAGGTTGCAAGTGCTATATGACCTGACTTAACGGTTTGGTCATATATTCCCGGAGAGAGTTCATCTAGTGGAGGGCTCATATCACTCAAAGCATTTTTGGCACAAAAGTGGTGATGAAAAGATTGGAGAAGTGACATTGATTTCACATCAATATTAAGGAGGGCGATTGTACTCACATAGGACTATTGTTTGGACTAAATTATTATATTTTGCAGTTCTATTTATTTATTTGTTATTATTTTTCACAAACATATTCACATTGTGCACATCTTATTTAGGATTGGTTGGTTTAAAGTGAAGCGCATGAAGGCACTTGTAGGTGTATATCATATTTGGTAGACAGTTGTCTACCCATACTAGCAAGTGCTTAAACCAGAACCATCATGGCAGAAATGCCGAGTTATTTTAATGAAAGCTTCAGATTTAAACAGATTTAAATGACTTTTGATATTACATTAACACGTTAAAGCTTATATGAGAGTGTGGTCTTTGGGTTTAGATCCACTTTAAAGGCTAAATTTACCTTTGAAACAAGTTACATGTTCCACCCATATTTTAGGGTACATGAAGTAACATGGTGGAGCTCCTGCCCTCTCTCCCCCCAATCCCCCCTCCCAATGATGGAAAGCAGGGGTTCCTCTCCCTACACCCTCTGTCACTTTTTAAAAACAGCACAGCTGTGAGGGGCTCCATTGTGAATGAATAAAATACAAGTACTGTCTGCCACTGCGGCAGATGGACTTGTAGCTTCAATGGTCTTATAATCAATCTTGTAGTCCACTGCCAAGTCATCTGGCTTTCAAACAAGAAGCCTGTAAAGTGGTATGGGCTGAAAGCTGGAAGACACATCTGCAGGAGCCCACATTGTACCCATAATAAACTGGTCATAAATGCAATGATTTCCAGGCTCTTGCAGGAAAAAAAATAATTAATGCACATTTTTTTCCTGCAAAAAATGTGCATTTATTGTTTTGTTTTTGTAAAGGTGAACTTATCCTTTAAGAGATCATGCCCCGATCTACACGCAAGAGCAGAGTTTCTCAACCAGCGTTCTGCAGAACCCTAGGGTTCCTTTTGAGGATGCTAGGGATCCTTGAGCAGTTAGCAGTTAGTTAGCAGTACATTAATCTACCTACACTGACCAACAATGCAAGGGGGCAGTTTTCTACTAACCATAACATGTCTACAAATGTTGAAGAACACACAATTTCTACTCCCTGCCTTTATTTTCAGTAGTTAGTATTCATTTTTAGTATATTATAGATACAAAAATTTGTAGAAGGTTAGTAACAAAATTATCTTCCTTGGGTGTCCAACATGGTAGGAATACCACAATGTTCTTCAACTTATTGATCACATTCTATGCCAAACTCCAAAGGAGTAAAAGGGGCCGCTCACCATATAAAAGACTCAGGAACAATTTTATCATGTCTTCCAACACTTAGATTAATCCTTCAGGGTATGCAGATCTGTTAATGTGTTTTACTCAATCAGGAGCTTATTCATACACCCTATGAGTAAGCAACTGATAGAGTGAAACGTTTTAATGGGTTTGCATACCTTGATGGATTAGTCTGTGTGTTGGAAGACATGATAAAATTGTTCCTAAGGTCCTTGTATAGTGTGCAGTCACATTTACTATTATATTTCCTTCTCATGTACACTGTTGCTCCTAAACATGAGTTTAGGAGCGTTTGGTGTTTTTTTTGCCAAAGCCCCTGAACTCAACTCAATAAAAGCCTATGTGTCCATGTACACATAGGCTTTTACCAGAGTTCAGGAGCAGCAGAGTTAAGGGGCAGTTAAACGTTCCTCTTCTGAACGCAGAATAATCGTGTTCAGGAGAGGAACGTTTTGGCCAACAAATGTTAAACGTGGCAGAAACGCATGTAAATGTGGAAAAATGTGGCTAAATGCTAGGCACATTTAGCACTTGGGAGTTTATCCAAGTCGATGAACAATACTCTGGCAAATCAAATGAATTAATGTCCAAGCACTTAATGTGGCTATACGCGGTACCGTGTTTACATGTGTTTTTGCTGTGTTTAGCAATTTTCTGCTGCCAGGAGAGTTTAACGACTAGGTGAGTTTGTGTGTACATGAGGCCTTAGTGCCCGCCATGCTCACTCTTTGGGGGACCCAGTGACTGGGCTTAGTATATATGGAATTCCACTGTTTAACCACAGCGAGCACTTTTTAGTTGGTTTGCATTTTACAATCATGCATTCTATGTATTAATGAAAATATTCTATGATCCTGTAAAATGTCTTTTGAGTAATTAATTTATGTTTGAATAGTCTGTATATCAGGACTCTCCCTCTCCTGAAGAATATATGGAAAACCCCTCTTTTTTTGTGGGATTGTGCACATGCGCAGCCAATGGACATTTTATTCATCATCTCTTCTGACTTGATTCAGCAATATCAGAGAACTCTCCCATCTCATTAGGATTTTGACAATATACTATTACCTAATATTGAGCATGATCTGCCATGTTCCCATTCCTAAAGTCATCATTTGGAACTGGGCATTACTATTTTTCGCCTCGTTGGGGCCGTGAAGTGGTTTCTCTTGGAGGCGAGTGGGGCAGCGTCTTCTCTCCTTTTCCTCCTCTCTTCCTTTCTTCATTTGCTTGGGCAGACCTTGGAAACATTGGCCACATCTACCTTATCTATGGTTTTAGCCAATTGGTGGTTTCTTCATGTTCTCTGCCCCTATGAAACGCGTCAAGTGCATGCATGAATCACTCTTTGTTTCTCTCACTTATGCATTTATTATAACAGCTATATAATGTATTATACATATTTTGTGTTTATATGTTCTTTTTAACACTTTGTATAAATAAAACATGGTCTATAAAGTTCTTATTTATTCTACAATTTCATTGGTTCTGTCTGTGCTTTTAAAATCCCGCAAAAAAAAGAGGGTTTTTTACATATATGCTTTAATAGGGATGATGGCACTTCTTGTTATCACACCCGTTGTTTTTATATTTTTCTCTCCTGAAGAAGGTTAATTAACTGTGAAGCACGTAAAGGAAATTAACATTTGCCTTGGATATCTTGTGGTTGATGCAAAAAATGATTACAGAGGCACCAAAGATGCAATTTTGATGATTTGTTTTTTTTTGTGTACTTTGTACCTTGGATTCCAAGGTGATTTTGTTTACCTAAGAGGATAGGATAATTATGTCCTGGTACAGCTATAAAGAAAGGCTTTTTCATCCATATGTATGATTTTATTGTGATTTCTATGAATAAATGTTTTGTATTTTTTTTTAAATACATTTTGGTCAACTGTTACTTATGCACCACAGAAAGTCCATATGCTTGCAAAATTGAGTTACATATTTGGGACGAGATTGTTTATTTGTGTACTTTGTACTTTGGATTCCAAGGTGATTTTGTTTACCTAAGAGGATAGGATAATTATGTCCTGGTACAGCTATAAAGAAAGGCTTTTTCATCCATATGTATGATTTTATTGTGATTTCTATGAATAAATGTATTTTTTTTTTAAATACATTTTGTTCAACTGTTACTTATGTACCACAGAAAGTCCATATGCTTGCAAAATTGAGTTACATATTTGGGACGAGGTGATCATGCAAATGTACCATAAGCTGTAGGTGTGATCCTTTTGAGCAGGGTTTCACAAGAACCTAAAAACAAAAAAAAAAAAGAGAAAGTCTGAACTAAAGGATCAAGGAATCAGGTAACCCAAACAAAGAAGCCCCACCCATCCAGCTTACAGTAAATGTAAAAGTGAACAGTTGGATTGAAAACGATTATGAAAAATGAGAGCTGATCGATAAATAAACCGAAAACTTACCTTGCTGGTCCTATTTCGTTGACGCTATCGGTTTTGTTAAGCGATAAAAAAAGGGCTTCTCCTTTAAACCAAATCTGGAAATGAAGCTGGGAATCTAAACGAAGGATCATTCAGCATTCACAGCTGTTTCTGTTCGTTCCTTTTCTCTCTTGCAGAATGCATGCCCCTTATAAAACCATTTTAAGGAATCTTAATGTGTGGCTCTGTGTATAATACAACACTTGTACGTCAATCTTATCTGTAATTAGCTAGGGGTATGAAATGACATTCCGGGCTGTACGCTAATCAGTTAGTCTGGGCTTTACGGTCATTGCCTACTCCGCGATCAACAGGATGAATGGCGCTTTACATACTCTCCCATGCTGTGTGCCACAGCAAAGTCTATTATCTGTGCAAGCATGAAAATGCAAAATAAATATCACTCTGTAGGAATCAGCGATCTCTTAGCCAAAACTCTTTCCAAATAAAAACACTGGATGTGTGACAGCCAGATATAATGTAGCAATGCTAAAGAGATTTAAAGACACTAATCGGCTCAAATTAGTCTAAGCCAAACAAAAGCTATATGATGCCAAATATTTAGCAAGATGTGTGGAAACAGCAAATTAAAGTGATTGCGCGATTTTTTTTTTTTTAGCATCTAAAAACCACTTTGCCTTTAATTCGCAAGTGTGAAATTTACTGTGACATGGTTGTATATTTCTTAAAGAGAACATGTAGTGGATTTGTATGTATTTTCTT